TTTTAATCAGGTTCACACCACGTCAATAAAGCGCAACAGTAAACACTGGCATCCCAGAACCATCCCCCCCTCTGATTTGACTACATAGTAAGTCAACATAGAGTACGCTTTGTCCACAACATGCTAACCAATTATTTTCCAGCCAAGTGCATCTGGACATGGGTGACCTGACCATTTTCAGACCACTCAGCTGTTTAGAAAATGTTTTGCATCAGCAAATAATAAAGTTGCGTTTTAGCTGCAATTATGTATACTTCCACATTTCCACTTTTATGCATGAATTCTTTTAAATCCTCTGTAATTCCTTGAAAACCTGGCAGCTTCTGTCTTGCAGTAAAGCATATAGAGACAACAGTTCACATATGTTGCTGCTTCTTGTTAAGAAAAGGCTGTTTTGCTAGTTCCTCCATTTATGTTAATCCCTTTACAACGTTAAATAAAGTAAATCTCCATTTGTCCCATTAAGCAGTGGAGCAGATTCAACACCAAACTGGTGGTGCGTAACATCAAAGTGCTGAGCAAAGATACTAATGTGCAATAAATTAATGTGGTAATTATTTATTGATGTTAAAGTTCTAATAGTCCAAGTAGAAAAAACATGAAGTACCTCATATTTAACAAAAATACAGACAAAATGAGGTGAAGCACAGCCACAACTTTCTCTCAAGTAGATGTATTGTGTGTCTTACCTTGGTTTAGGTATGTGAGCGTCTCGTCATGCAGCTTGACAGCAGGCGAGGTGGCGGCGCACAGCACATACTGGAATGGGGGATTTTTGGTCTCGTTTTCAGGAGGAAGGCTGGAGTCCTCCTGCTTAAAGATTGGCAGAGCCAGCACATCGCTGAAAAAGAGACAGAAGAAAGAAGAGAGGCACACAAACACAAAGTCAGCATGGATGTGATGCAGAAGAGACATGCAAGAAAACCGTCATTAAAGAAGAGTTGTGCCAGCTTAAAGGTCTTTTTAAAATCAGTGACAGCTTAATTGGTGCATTTTTCTTGCCTGTGGCCTCTCCGTGTTTTGGCTTATAATTTATTTAAAATTCTAAGCTTTCATTGAATCTCCAATACCATGTGGGATCCATCCTGATGACCACATGATCACTGTGACCTCCCTTAGAAGCAAAGAGAAAACCCTGCCTTTATTCCTTAAGACTGGATGTTCCTGTTAACCCACTTCGCAATTATCTTGAAAAACACATCAAATTGGGGTCGTGCCATTTAAACTGTTGCGTGCTCCTACTTTGGTAAGACAATACTTTACCTCCTCATAGTGTGGAATTATTAAATGGATTGGCTTATTTTAGAATAAGTGACGAAGGCTCTCCATCGATCAAATGGCTCTCTTATTATGTATGCATGAGGCCGCAGCAGGATAAATGAACAAAAACACCCAGAGATAGCCTGAGCTGCTGACACACACTATCTCTCACACTTGGCAGCCACTCTAGACAACCAACCCGTCTTCAGCTCACCCTGACAAATGCAGCAGGAGTGTCAACGGGTGCACAGTGAATGTGGGGGCATATGTGTGTGCAGATCTCGGTGCCTGTGCAGGGTCCTATCCATGCAAAGAAATGCAGATCGTGGCATCTCATTACTTGGAAAACTTTTTGGCACGTCATGATGCTGCTCTAAACCTGAGCCAAACTTTAAAAGAAAAAGAAGGAAAAAAAAACAAAAAAAAACTGTTGGACAATTTCAAGATATTCCTGCAGCACCTTTCCCCAAACAACAAAGTCTTCCAAACAACAGCCCGCTAGATTAATTCAGCCTCGATCACTTGCTGCTGTGTTTTCTCTGCAGAGTGGATGCCCAGACTGTGCCAACCTGAGTGCCACAGCCCTGTTAAGCCTTGCTACCCAGGAAAACTACATCTGCTTCCTGAAATCTGAGGAGCTGGTTCCACTGACACACACTGAGACATTCTGTTCCTACCAGCTGCTGACTCCAAACATGCCACGCAAACCCACCCCAACACCACACATAGCATACTTCTCCTGGACCCACTGACACCACACACAAACACACACACACACACACACACACACACACACACACACGTTTCACTAATTCACTTAAATGCAATCACTTGTGTATTGGTAAACTTGCTTACTCTCATAAAAGACTGGCACACACCTATGTCAAGCTCAGATAAACGCACCCTAAAAGCAGATGGCAGAGGCTGCTGCTGATAAGACACATGCATGTCCTGAGACCTTCTTGCCTTCGTCACACAAATATCATGACCTCGCGTGACCTATTACATAATACGGGTCACACATACTGTGAGAGACTAATTAAACAGGTGGTTAACGCCAATAAAACTTGATTAACGATTCCAACACAATCCTTCTTCTTAATCATTTAGCAAAAAAAAAAATAAGAAAAGAGACAGATTCAGGACAGGAAGTAGTAACTGACTAACCAGTGGGTCCCTGATTCATGAGATGTCACATTTGGGAAAAAATGTTGGAATAACCTGCATGACCAGGACCTGGTGGCATAACCACAAGTCATTAAATTAAAACTTAACATGGAAGAATTTGTTACAGGGCTGCATGTATTCCCTGCAATTTGGGCACAATGCCAAATACTGTGTGTGTAGCTACAAGAGCTGGGTATCATGTTAAATTGTTATACATCAGCTGCAATGAAATACCTGTACTGTCGATAGTGATACCAAAACAATGCTGGTCTCGTGCAGTATAGTACGGGGAATATTAACAAAAAAGGTGGTTTAAAAATGAAAATTTAAAGATCTAAAAGTGACAGCTGGAAAGACTCTTGCTGAGGAAGATTGTGAGATTTAAAATGGCAACTTTATCCTTGTTTTCTAAGAATCTGACCAAGCATTTAATACCAAACTTGACACTTTTTGATACATGACAGTAGTCAAAAAGTGTCAAGAGTTGGTACTGAATGCTTGGCCAGATTCTTTGGTGTGTTTACTTATTCTTTCATCAGACATTTCCACATATAAAGTAAACTTTTCTGACTTTTAAAAAAAAAAAAAAAAGGGTTAAACCCTGATTTAACACTGCAGTTTTGTTAGAGATTAGACAAAGCTAACATCATAACTATAGTACAAACTTGAAGAAAGAAAACTCCCTTTAAGAAAAGAAAAAAAAAGGTTGTCAGGTGATTCTTAAGCTGCATGAGAGAGGAAAGAAACACTGAAGCTTCGGCCACTTACACCTCCAAGTCAATTAACCCTTCTAGGACCTTTTTCAGATGAGAAAGAATAAAATCAGACCTATCACCTCGGACATAATGTACAGTCTTTTGTTTCCACACACACACACACACACACACACACACACACACACACAGCTGGTCTTCATAAACAAAGCCATAGACTTGTTCTGATAACTCTGCCAGTCTGAGGGGCCACAGCAGGGCCGTAACTGCAGACTTCCTTTGTGTTATCTTGAAATGTTCACAAAGTTTAGGTCTCCCTTGTGGCAACAGACCCACGATCTGAGTAACAGGACGACCTGAGACAGCCTTATTTGTCCCTCACGGTGTAACACATACTCTTCCCTTTGCTTCAGTGTGGGTTTAGAGAAATTAATCTTTGTCCCTGATTCGTGGCACCCTGCAATGACTGCCCTACTCCAAATCCCAAAACAAAGAGAAACCATCACACCCAGTACAAAGAGAATAACACACACACACACACACACACACACACACACACACACACACACACACACACACAACCAGGGAGATGTAATGTTAACTCTTCCGGATAGAGTGTGTGTTGTTCTCTCCAACCACCTAACAACTGTGTTAGGAAGCTGGGGTTGGCATGTTGGCTTCCGTCTCTAACCTCATGCTGTAGGCTCCAGCCCCCAGCTCCTGCCCGATACCGGACAGGCTGGCATCGAAGTCGTGCACCAGCCCCGACTCAATGGTGGCGTCGTCCATCTTCAGCACCCAGGCCATCGGCCCCAGCTCCTTGTCCTCGGCTTCTACTCGGAGGGCCGCCAGCTTGCTTCAGGTACGAAGAGGTCGGCTAGCGAGGAAGTGGGCTCCGCAGCTTCTGAGTGACACCGTGAGAGGAAAGTTACGCTGCTAGCCCGCTAGCCGCTCCTTGGCAAGCTGGGCAGGCGAATCGGTAGCTTTCCACAGAGACTGGGTGTATCGCCATATCTCCACTCGGGATTTATTTATTTATTTTTTTGGAGGTGTTGGGAGGCAGGGTTTAGTCACACAACACGGTGCTCCGCGACTGGCAGGCTGTCTGAAAGCAACGATAAGTCAGAGTCCACTCAGCTAGCAAATGTTAGTCGTGACTGAAGATGCGGGCTGATTGTCAGCATGCTAACGTTAGCTAACAGCTAGCTAGCTTCACAACGGCGACTTACGCGAGCTAGCATGAATCCATCAGCTCCGATGTTACCGCAGGCACACAGTCTCCGAGCAGGCTAGCTAACGTTAGCCCCGAAACGAAACGCAACGAGCACGGAAGAGGGTTTTTGTTTTAGTCCACACGCCGCATCCCACGCAGCGTCCGCACAGCTGTTGCTACCGAGCTATCAGGCTAACTAGCATCAACTTCACTTGCTTTGAATCGACTGTGATGTCCGGTGACCTAAGAGCAGCTCTCCTCTGGCGCTCCCTGTACCAGCCCAACCCGCTCTCCTCTTCTCATCGCGGTGCTGGAACCACCGCTAAGGCTCCCGGTCCTCGAGACGCAGTCCTTTAACCATCCAAAGTGCCGCGGTCGACTCAAAACCAGGCATCAACATGGCTCCCTCAGCATACAGACGGTCGGCTCTGTGAAGCCTGCAGGGCTGCCACCGCCAGCCTCAGGAAGGATGCCAGGACGGCGGTCAGCCAATCAGAGCCCGCCTTCTGTGCCCAGCGCAGGGGGATTAGCCAATCAGAGGCCCCCGAGCTTCCGTCATTGTGTCCGACTGTAATTGTGCTCTGCCTCGCAGAAACTATAATACACCTATAAAGTCATTACTGTGAGCAGACATAGTGTAGATACACACAACCGACAGCGACACAGCGACAGACTCACTGCTCCCAAAGTGACAGGAGGCCATAAACACAACTGTGACTCGTTAACAGGTATTAAAGGGAACTTTTAAAGGCCATAAACTAAACAAAATTAACATTTCACTTTCAGTTTCAAGAGGTTCATACCGTGTGTAACTGCTGCCGCCGTGTCTCTGTACGGGGGCTCGGAAGTTTTCAGTGTATGGCTGCCAAAACAACATAGTGTCCCCACAGCACCTGTCGCCTGAAGTGCGTCTCTCTCTCTCTCTCTCTCTCTCTCTCTCTCTCTCTCTCTCTCTCTCTCTCTCTCTCTCTCTCTCTCTCTCTCTCTCTCTGCTGCAACTAAACACGACTCTGCCCGGTACCGAGGAGGTCCAAACTGGAGCTCATGTTTGTTTCATGTCAGTGTTGAAGAGGAGTTTGCTCCGCAGAGGTGGTTAATAATTATCCACTGGTCGGACCCCTGGACGCAGTGCGCGCGGTTAAGTCTCTGGGTGGCAAAGTTTTTTTCCGAGGAGGGCAACACGCGCTATTTTGGCCCGAGATTTTGGGGGGGCTCATGACTTAATTACTGTCCACCTGTCTGACTCTTCTGACAATTCAGGGTATGGAGGTCAACACACAGGAGTCAGACTTTAATGCAAAACACAGAAAATGTCAAAGTACAGTGAAATATTATCAGCAAAATGTCTTAAGTATCAAAAACTTCTAAGGATAATAATATATATATATTACATTATTTGATTGTTATTACCGATGCTTTAATGTGTAAGCACAGTATTTTTTATGTTGCATGTGCTCAAGGTAGAGTTTATTTTACTTAAACTGGTTCTTTATAACATCTCATCATGTTAAAATTCAAAGTTATATTTAAAAGGGACTTTATTGACATGTGTCAAATATATATATATATATATGTTAGTAAGAAAAAAACGGACTTGTAGTTAAAAAAAAAAATAAATACAAAGGGAGAACTTTTTTTTAAATGTGTTTGTGTGTGTAATAAACTGATAATGTAAAATTGAATCTGCAAACTAGTAATATAAGTATTAACATTCCTGAATTTTACTGCAGAAGTATATGGAAGTACTAAAAGTATTTTAAGTGTACTTATAATTACATTCCACCAGAGTTATCTGCAGGGTCTTAGCAGTCAGGAGGTGACTGCTAAAAGGCAAATGATTTTCAGGTCAGGCTGCATCTGAGACCCTCTTTAGCAGCACCTAAATTTACAGCCCAGAGAACATATGCATACATGAAATTCAACACTAGTTTCTCAAATAGCTGTTGCATAAGATGTAAATGTTTGTATTTTGACTGTGCATGTCTGCATTAGTGCACTTTATTAAGTAGGGCATGCAGCAACATTTAACTGCAGGTTTTATCTATATATCTCTATCAATCAACAGTCCCGGGCTATAAACAAAACAGCACAGCGGTTGTAGAGCTGAAACAATCAGTTGATTAATCAATTAGTCGTTCAATAGTAGTTCAATATGTGAGGATTTTCTGCTTCTGGGTAATGGTCATGGGATGTATGTATGTCGTAAATTTTATAGAATAAAATCAGCAGAGTAAAAGAATTAAAATAAATTAAAGTGTACTTTGACCAAAAAATAATTTTTCTTTAAGACACCCAAAGAATGAAAAGTTTTGAGTATGAGGATTATCTCCCTGACACCCAGGTTGGGAACCACTGAAGTAACTTTTAAAACCTCCTCAAGGTACAACTGTGAGATAAATGCAGAGTTAAAGGACCGAGGCATTGCTACAGTTTCAGGTTTTTCTGGAATAAATGTTTTGAACTCTCCTGGTTTAAGGTACAGCTGGACATATCAGATCTTTAGACGTTATAAGATGTTCTACCACTGATTTTAGGTCAGTCAGATAAGGACAAACAGCTTAATACCAAGAGTCTTCAGTGTTTAATCTCATGGGCAACGATGGTATTAGTAAAAACCAGCATTTTAAAAATATATCCCGTCATTAACATTTCTTCTTCTGTCTTTAAATATGTTCTTTTTGTCTTTATTTGATATGACAGGAGAAGGAAAGAGAGAGGATAACACGTAGAAAAGGAGCACAGGTCAGATTTGAACCCATAGACGCTGAAGCAAGGACCCGACCGCGGTACAAGGGGCGCCAGCTCCACCAGGTGAGCTACCAAGGCCTCCCGTCATTAACATTTCTACCCCCTCCTTTTACCGTGGGACTCTTTTTCCACTCCAGAAATGAAAAGAGGCGGGACTTGTCATGATCTGTACAAGTTCTTGATTTTATTGTAAGCACAGCTTTGTAAATGCACGAAGGAAACAACAGTGAAAACTAGAATGTTACAAGAAGAGGAAGGAAAGAAAGACACAATGAAGAGAAGAGGGTGACATGACAGTTTTTTTTTTTCCAGAGCTGTAAATAATACATTTCTACAAATTCCTCAGCTGAGAAAACATAAGTGTGAGAGAGAGAGAGAGAGAGAGAGAGAGAGAGAGAGAGAGAGAGAGAGAGAGAGAGAGAGAGAGACCACGAGAGAAAATAAAAACAAGGATGGGCACAGGTGCGCTTGTGCACCCCCCCAGGGGACTCTCCTAAATGACACTGTTATTGGATATTCCATTTTAATATCATATATAGATACATATCCACTATGTGATAATAAGCCATGTCCTGTCATACTTCATGTAGTAAGCAGCACGCACCCATCTTCCTCCCCATGTTGCCCAGAAGTAGACTGATCCAAGATCAGTCGGGAGAATCGGAAGAACACCACAGATTTTTCTGAAAGGGGCGGACATTGTTCACATTAATTTAAAACCCCAGTCGCACCATTCTGACCGTCAATAGGACTCCAATAAAAAGTTCTTTTTAAAATTTAGTCTCATGCATAGCCAAGCACACAACGCCTCCTATACTTTGGAATCTGCCTATGTACTGTATTTGCTATAAGCAGGCGTGACCCACTGTGACTCGTGTTAGTGCTGCGCAGGGTTTGTTGGTCGTACCTTTTAGGCTAATCAGCACCTTTTTGAAAGAGGGAGTTTGTGTGTGAGAGAGAAAAAACTCCAGACATTAAAAACTGCTGCAGTAAAACCTCATTGCGTAAAATAAATCCAAACTATGACACAATGTAAATTTACATTCCTGTCTACCTGGCCCCAGTTACTTGCTGTTCAAGAAAAGACACAAGGCGGCACCATTCGTTCGTCTCAGCCGTGTTCTATGAACTTTAACTCCCCCCACCAAAAAAAAAAAATGAGAACATGCAGTTGCACCACTTCCTGTTGACATCAAGATGTTACTCAGAGGGGATACTGTTGTGTTTGGGATACAAAGGAGCTGGAGAGGACGGACACTTCATATCTTCATCCTTGAGTGATTAGTGACTGGGTGGAGAATGTGACTGTTTATGTTTTAAAGGTTCAGTTCAGTCTGAGATCAGTGGATCCGATGGTTGGGAGAACTACAACACTCCTCTCTTCTGCACCACAACTCCCATCTTGCAGTGGGACAGGAAATGTATGAGGACTGTGTGCACCTGTGTGCGTGTGTGTGTGTGTGTGTGCGCAAGCATATGTGTGAATGTTTCCTGTGAGAGAGTGTTAGGATGTGTGTTTTGTTCTCTGTCTGTGTGGGTGTGAGCTCATGAACAGATGTTTATGTTTGCTGGGTAGAGTTGCAGTTCTGTGGTTGCCCTGTTGGAGGGCGCTGTGTCTCCTATAGGCCCTCTGAAGGGGGTTCACTGCCGCTGGAGCCGGACTGGGCACGCTTGATGTACAGATTCAACAGCTTCAGCTACGGATGGACAGACAGAGGATAGACATGTAAATGTGTCTGTAGAGGTTGCAATGAAGTCATACAATGTGTGTGTAAAGAGGTGAAAATCACTCTTGCTAAATACATGTAGTTTCTTGAGCACAATATAATACAAGATCTTTGTCTTTACAAGTTATTGCATCTTAAGAGGTTGTTATTATATGTGGTATATATATGCAAAGAATAGCTGGGTTTAAAAAGGTGCTATGGTATTGCATTAAAATATAAGATAAAGAAAAAGGTGGAGGTCTTGCCACACTGGTCTCCTGCTAGAACACAGGAAAGGTGTTTTTATCTTTAGAGGCCATATTTCAACCTGTCAGACCGTCATAACTTGGTGTGTAAAAACGTAAAGATATTGGTAATACAGGATGCTTATTGGTCAGGTTACCTTGCTGCTGGAGAGTTGGCTGAGGTGCGGTTTGAGGTCCTCTCCGATCACTGCGTAAATGGCCACCAAGCAGAACACACAGGCTTTCCTCACACTGCTCTCAGAGTTGTCGTAACCCTGTTCAACCAGATAAAATAGATTACAAACCTGCAGGACGTTTTGTTCAAAACAAAGGAGTCAGAGAAGCTATTTGTGTATTAATGTGTGGATTGTTTGTGAGGGCAGAAGTTGCATTCGTTTTACAAAAGAAATAACAAATTAGCCACTTATGGTCGAACTTTACAAAGATCTATAATATCTAAGAACCATTGTTAAAACAAACACTCCACTGTAGAAAATAAAATGAATAATTCATCTTACTTTTACTAAATAACCCCCAACATTATACTTCTAATAGTGCTAGATTGTGATTTTCAGCATAAAAACTTAGTTTTAAATATACGAGTTCTCTTTGTGTGTGTGTGTGTGTGTGTGTGTGTGTGTGTGTGTGTGTGTGTGTGTGTGTGTGTGTGTACCTGTATGAGTCCTGGCACTATCTCAGGCAGCAGGCTGACCAGGCCCTCACGGGGAAGTCTCTCCACCACTTTGGTCTGCATCTTGATGGCAGCCAGGTTGATGGGGTAGTCAGCTGACTGGATGATGGGACACAACACCTTGATACACTGGTCAGGACTGATGGACAACGCCAACATGGCTGCCGTCTCCTCTGCCGCTCGTACCACCTGCAGGAAAACGCACAACATTATTAGAATTGATGCTTTAAGTCTTTGTTTGCAAAATGGTAAATGTGTCCAGTTCATATTCACGCAGCAGATAATGCTTTGATCATGCATACATACATACACTACAACAGCTTTTATACCATCTCTGAAGTCCTCATGATAAAAAAACAACTAATTTGAACTCATTTGTGTGTTGGAGTAAATGTACCTCCTTGTGGGGGTCTTTGTGAGCCTCCAGGGCCTTCATGATGGTGAGCTCTGCGTAGTTTTTGAACCTCCAGGGCTGCTTACCAAGAATCTCCCTCAGCACCCGCAGAGCCAGCGTACGGATCACATGCTGGTAGAATGACAAAGATTGCGGTTTAAAGGAAAGGAATTCAACCTGTTTGCATGGTGTTATCACAGAAATGTGGAGGGCGGAGTGCGTTTACCTCTCTGTCACCCATCGTTTCGAGCAGGAGTAGCAGGATGGTCTTGAAATGTTCATCCCACACCTGCAAGGTGTTTTCACGAATCAGCTTGAGCAGTTCGCACAGCGCTGCCTTCCTCTCCTCAATACGCTCGTTGTGATTGGACAACTCTTTCAGCAGTTCAGCCACCAGCTCTGATTGGTCCAAGCTGCTATCTGTTAAGAGACAATAGACAAGAGGAAAAAACAATAAACTTATCATATCATGCGTTTAGGGTGGTACATCTATGTTTTTCTCTCAGAATGTGTTCCTATACCATCAGTCATATGCTCAGAGTCGTCCATACTGCTGTCTTTGCGGCTGTGTTTGAAGGGAGAGTCTAAGAAGTGCTCACGGGCTCCTCGGGGGCTGGAGGAGAGCAGGGGGGTGTTGAGGAGGGAAGTCTTGTTGTCCAGAGCCATGCGGCCTCCGTCCATCGAGTCTCTGCCGTCTGTCCCACTGTCCCCCTGCAGAGATGCAATTAAACTGTTAAAGAGCCTCGGATTGTCAGGTCACTTCTTGAGAAGAAGTTGATTTGTGATTTTAGGCTTTATTAAAAAAAAAAATCACATCATATCAGTGTTTAATCTCCTTTACACAGAGAAAATCCCCACACTCACATGATGACGTCCATACCTACTACAGCTACATAAGATATAGAGTGCTTGAGAGATTACTGTCTGAGGATCAGCAGATGGATTTAATTGCAGTTAAAGGTCCAATGTGCTGCTCATGTCTGTATTTGACAACCTGGGAATGAGAACTGGCTGTGTGTAGGTGTACGTGTCAGGTGATTTATACACTAATGAAAACATATCTATAAAAATTATATTCCATTCCTGCCAATTGATCTAGTATCTTCTTGGATTCATGTTAATGCCTTATTTTCTTTCACACCACACCAAAGCATCAGAAAAGGTTGAGCTGTATTTTGTTTCAGCACGAACAGATATTGATCAAAACTAAGGAAAGACACACTTAGTTATACTTTCATCCCTTTAAGGTGCACAACCAGGAACATTTGCCTTGGATATCAGCATGTTGTTGTCTAGATGTGATAAAAAACAAACAAGTGTTGGGACACATGGTCAACCACTTGTTCTTGTTTCTGTGTATATTTACACTCAAACCACTAAATGCCATTATCTGAGTGGTCGTTTGATGAGTCAGATGTGCTGGGATTGGCAGGCTGATGACATGTGGTCTGCTTAGATTTCAGATGCACCTCGTGAGGAAAATGTCAAGAGGTCACACCTCTGTACTGGAGAATACTGTGTCCTTAAAAGGGTCCTGGGGCTGCTGGGAAGGACTGCAATAGGTCATGACGCCTGGAGTCATAAATCTGGACTGAACAAGCAGTATCTTGATAAGCACTTGTTGAAATATAACAGGGCAGCTTCGCATTGAGAAGAATCTCTCAGTGGGATTTTCATTAGCTGGGATCCTAACAAACAATAAACATGATTTTATCAGTGCCTGAAGAGGATTAAGTTCACAGTCATCCGTCCCATTGAAACATAATGTTTGCCTCTCATTTCCCACGCTACAGGGGGAGTGGTGGAACAGATCAGATGTCAGACACGTTATATGTAGGTAGCTATGTTTGTGTTTAGGCCTTTGCAAGTCTTGGAAAACATGCTGTAAGGCTAGACAAGATGATGACCAATTGCTTTTTGAGTATCAAGTGAAATGTGTCTGTAGCTCAGTAACACTGTCCCACATCAAAAGTTAGCTTTGTGTACTTTGTCAGATCTGGTCTACATATTCTTTCATCAAATATTTTCTGATTTAAATCACAACTTTGACAATTTTATACAACTACAGTCTTTTATGGTTGATTGTGTGATGACAGCATTAAACACAGAAGTGTCTTTTTTGTTAATTTCCTATTTTTGGTATTGGACCAAAACAAAGGCAGTATTCTGACAGTACTATCACATCTTTAATAACCCCACCCCCGAAATGGGCCATGAATCAATCTGTGTTCAGTGTGAGCAGCTCACAGCAGAGCTTCATTGCTATAGCAACACTGAGCAACTTTATTGATCTATCAGTTTCAGTCAATGCACAACGCCCCCTTGTTACACAACACCACATAAAATATAACCCACAACAGGGAATCAAAGTTAATTGTATTTCTGAATGCAGGTTTTGTATTCACCGCAGGGCTGCACATTAAGAACTGACTTAACATTTAAATCCATTCAAGCTAAATTTGTTTTCCTACTGCTTTCCCCAACACCTTTAATCTTGTTATTTGTCGCAGTGTTCTGCCAAAGTTTCATCCTATAATATTATCTGACTACAGCAACTGACTTTGTTAATTTAACTTTGTGATGTTTCGTGAAGGAATTCCCGAAAGCAGGCAGCTTGGTAATTTGTAAACCTACTCATCAACACTTGCAGCCAATCGTCTGTAAATGTTTCACTTTTGCGCTAATCCAAAGTTATGGAGCCACGCGTGAGTGAGGAAACATCACGCTGTGTCACATCTCACAACTGTTACTGACAATTACAGAAAGAAAACACTAGCTTCCTTCACATAGATTTTACTGATGCAGCAGTACCGCTCTAATAGTCCCATATCAGCGTTGACAACACGTACAACATCCATCCGTCTGCTCTACTGACCTCCTCTCCCTCCCGCCGTTGGACTGGTTCATTCATGTCCTCTTGGCTGCGAACACTGAAGTTCTGGATTGCCTCAGTGACACCTTTCAGCGAGCTGTAGATGTCCTCTGAGTTCATGTTCTCTGTGTCATAGTCAAATGCACTGCATACAAAGGAAGGAAGAAAATGGACACTGAGCCAGGGCACAATTACAGCTGAAGTGAATCATCAAACTGCTGAATATCACCCCAATATACCCTGTCTATGTATTACATGAGGAACACAATTTTGCTACGACACATTTAGAATAAAATAATATTATTTATATATATTTATAAAATATAATAAACACTCAGATAATAGATAAAAATGTATGATATTTGAATGACTGTACATCCCAAGACTACTTTTCTTTTATTAAATAGAAACATAAAGTAGAAGAAGAACCACACTGGGTCATACAGTCTCTAACAAATGTAGTTGAAGTGATACAAACATCTGTAGACTTCACTCTTCTCTACTGTCGACATCTTGACCTGTGATCATTCTAATATGTCAATGATTGTTAGATGGATTTTCCATTTTAATGAATTGTGGTTAGTGGAGGTTGAAGGCCTGTCTGTGTTTCTTAAGACAAACAGATATGTATGTGTGTGTGTGTGTGTGTGTGTGTGTGTGTGTGTGTGTGTGTGTGTGTTGTTACCTTGGTGATGGGGTGTTCTGCGAGGTGTTGGTGGGGGAAGTGACCGGACTGGACCAGCTGGCGGGAGATCGAGGGGTGTGGCGTGTCAGAGGGCTGCCCATTGGTGCCTGAGGAAGTGACAAAAAAAGAGAAAGAAGTATGCAATTAATGTTTAGTGTAACATATGTGTCTGAAACACTCCCTACTCTTGCGTGGAGAGAGAGTTGGTGCCTGTCTTACCTGTGCAACGTTGCCAGTGTTCTTCAGGTGGTTTTGAAGCAGCTTGGTGGCTCCGTCCTGAAAGGTTTTGGGCAGAGCCGCTAGCAGCATGGTGAACTCTGGCGTATTGAGCTGGAACAACGAGATTAGCACCGACTGGGCCGCCTGTAACACACAACATACATCCGTCTCAGTTAGAAAGAATCTGGAAGAATCTCCACTGTCATTCCTGTGTTTGTGTGAATCAAAGAGGGCGGCGTTTCTTTCCAACAACTTGAGTTATCTGTGGGAACAATGTTCTGAGAGATGTTAATCTCAAAACTATATTGGTTTGTGTGTCGGCACCTTTCTGACGTCAGAGCTTTTGGGTTCAGTCGTCCAGGTGATGATGCGGGAGACGGCCAGCCGAGTCTCACTGGAGTTCACAAAGTCTGGAGCTTCCATCTGTAACGTCAGCGTCTCAATATACTTCAGAATCGCCACCTTCACCTGCAATACAAAAATACACGTGTAAAAATCATTAGTGAGTTGACTGATAACAAATAAACCGCATGGCCAATATTCACCTGCAAAAACATAAATATGGTAATAAACAAAACTACAAAACACACACACACGTGAAAAAGTGACCACCAATGTTCACAGTCAGCATGTACAACCACAGCAGATTGTGCATCTCCTGAAGGTCTGAAAATCAAATGGTCCGATGAATCAGTGAGAGAAGATCAAAGTGCATTCATGGTCATGCTTTATAAAATCAAAACAATCAAAAAGAAAGGAGATGACGAATGACAAAACAATAAACCAATAAATGCCAACATTCACCGCAGGCTCCGAAACGCCACAACAACTGATTCCTGCCCTGAATTTCCTCCATTTCTTTCTCCTCCTCCGTGTCCCTACATATGCACCTCAAGGACCAGAACTTCCTCCAAATCACTTAGCAGCATCGTGCGCGCCATATAATTGCTCCCCCCGGAGCGCACTGACCTGGGAGGACTGGCTCCAGGCTGCGGCCTGCTCGTCTAGAGAGCAGGCGTGGCGCCGCGCTCTGGGGGGGAACAATTTTACCCCGGACCCTCCCCTGCCTCGCCCTCGCCTGCAACACGAGCTCCGTACAGGCTTCGGAGAGAGAGAGGAGAAGCACCGCGTCAAACAACGGAGAAAGAAAGGGAGACGGGGACAGGGGAGGGCAGGGGGAGACAAGAGAGGAAAAGGAAGAGGAAGGAGGGTGCAGAGAGTTTAAGAGTCGGCTTGGGCGATCGAAAATTTGTATTATACTGAAAATCTGGCAATACAAAATATGATCGTTTAGGCCACATGATGGCAGCAAAGAGCTGTGATGTCTCGTTAACCAACATAAATCAGTGGTTTATGAAGCTTCATGCAACAGTTTTTAAAGGTGGATAATGACTGCTAATGTCTACACTTACTTTTATTATGGTTAAAAGGAAAGTGCATGAGTTGATCTCAGGCAGTATCTTTAAACTTTTTGCATTTGAGGTTTTTTTTTCAGTTTTTTGGCAAGTTCAGTGAATTGAATACCAGAAAAACCCTGTACTTCATCACGTTTACAAAAAATCCTCTGCCGTCCTCACTGATGTTAAAAATCACCCACAAATATATTTCTACTGTCTCAAGGTATATATTGTCACATTGCCCTTCCCTAGCCTGTGATGTGAGCTGTGTAAGAATTTAAAAGTATGAGAACAATGTATTTGGACTTTAAAAGTTAGAGTTTCTTCAGGCCACATACTAGGTCCACGTTCTATTCTTTATGTGGTCTTGCTGCATGAAATTTCCTCTAGAAAAACAACACCTGACAGCAGGAATAATCTATGCTGACAGCAGTGAAACTTTGCAAAGTCAAATGAAAAGGAAATTTACATTTGGGCCAGGAGGGTGAAATTTTGGTGCAGATAATATCTTTCATTGCCCAAGCCTAGTTGGAAGGCAGACTGATTGTGAAAAAGTTGTGAGAAGGGTGAGAGGGTGAGGGAGAGGGTGTGGGAGGGGGCAATGCAACAGAAGGACAAAGGGGTGAGGAGAGTGAGGGGTGAGGGATAAAGTAGAGGAAATAAAGGGGGAGGTAAGGAGGGTGTACGTGACACTGGAGAGGCAAGAAGTTGCTCTAACAGAAGGGTTGGTGAGACAGGAGACAGGTAGGAGGAAAGTACGAGACGATGGATAAGGAGTTAGAGAAGGAAAGCTTGAAGGGAGTTTCCACACTGTAGCAGAGCAAAAAAAAAAAAAAAAAAGCCAGTGGAGTGGCTACATCAATCGCTATCCAATCACAGCCCGGGATTCAGGGTTTTGGGAGGAAGCTCCAGCATGGGCAGGCATGAGGTCATGTCAGTACAGCAGTTACCATGGTTACACAGTCCCAGAGTTTCCAGCCTTATGTCCATCCTCCATCCCATCGGCTCTCCTTCTTATATAAATAAACACACAAGCACACGCACAGACGCACTCTAACATTAAATTAACATGTTATTTACCTTTAGGTTGGGCGTCTGTGTCTGGTCCACAGTGAACCTCATGAGAATAGTAAACTGCAGGTCATTGGGGAAAGACTCTCTGTTAAGAGAAAAAAGAAATCCACATTAAACTTCCAGCACACACAAAAGCACATTTTAAGAGTGAAAGGATCTCTGCCAGGTGTCTTTAAGATAAATTAATGCATAGTTCAGAGGTAAAACGATGTTTGTGTCGTCATATTTTCGCTGGTAAAAACTACTAATTGTGTTATGTAAAAACAAGAGAGAAGGCAGAATTGATCATAAGAGAACTGTCTAATTTTTTACATGTATATATAACAAACAAACAAACAAATAATAATAATAATAATAATAATAAACAACAACAAATAACAGCTTTCAAACACATCTCATCAGCTAGAAAGTGGAGCCTAAATTGTTCTGTTACAGATCCTATTGCAGAAGGTCAAAAGTGAAGTTCCATGCTCAAATATAACACCCACGGGTCACCTACTTCAGTATGTAAGTGTGACACCCACCGTGTGATATCAAGGGCTCTCTGCACTTTGGCCTGTACGGAGCCCAGCAGGTCAGCTCCCATCTTCTTCAGCAGCTGTGTGAGCAGGACGAACAACCAGTCCTGCAGATCTTCTTTATGGACCAAGATGAAATCTACCAGTGTCTCCAGGAACATACTGAACACCTAAACACACATACACATGCCGTGTGGGTCACACAGTCACTCAGACACTATACAATTCTCATGTTTCATGCACACACACACACATGCATACAGGAAGTCCAGCGTTTACAGGGTATCTACAGGATAAAAGGTTATGCTGAAGAAGTAACGTGTGAAGTTAGTTGTTATTCATTTATCATTGCAGCAGCCCACCTTCATTCCCAATCACCAATTAAACTTAAAATCACCCAAATCAATATTAATATTAATTAGAAGACAACCAGAGTGTTAGTTACTCGCAAGAAACACCAATCAGACTCCGTGGTGACCATCTCTACATGCCAGTGGTTGATCTCAGCAGGATAAGTAGTTACAGGCAACAATATGTGAGGTAGGTTAGTGAGTGATTGTTATGTTGTTGCCCTAATAAATGGTTATCCAATCAGATTAATGAAGCAGATATTCATCTAAACATTTAAACAGAGTAACACTGATTGGCCAGACTTACTCTCTACAGAGAGTTCCAGGGTGGGGTGGCATGGGGGAGAGAGAGACATATCTGTTAGCATCCTGACAAAGAATACCCAAATGTACTCAGTGAGTCTTTGCACACAATCTTGACTTTCAACCTGGACTTTCAATCCAACATTTGCAAAATGGCAACAGAGTCAAACACATAAGAGCGACAACATCTTTAAAAATGTGAAGTGATGTTTTGTGCACACTAGAGAGACCTGAGAGAGAAACTGAAAAACATGGAAGATAAAAGGTGGGAATGGTGTGGGATAGACAGATGAAGGCGGAATCCATGGTGAGATGCAGTACCTTGAAGGAGGCTGAGCTTATACCGGATTCTGCTGTGCCGTACACCCTGCCGGAGTCTCGCTGAAATTCATCAAATCGTCAAACGTCAAACGAGAGGAAAGGGGTGGGGAGGGAGGGGGCTCGCACACCTTACGACATGTGTGAGGCAGCGGGCACTCAAAAAACGGCCAAAGAAAAGTGGCAGTGTTAGAGAGGGCGAACCGCAGCTGGTTAGTCAGAGAGAAGAGCTGGCAGCCCAAACATCTTTGTGTGTATTTCAGTGCATCTGAGTGTGTGTGTGTGTGTGTGTGTGTGCGGTCAGTGTCGTCGCCTCAGACTGCAGGGAGGGAGGGCAAAGAGAGCGAGTGGCAGTGAATGCAGCGAGCACAGCCAGCGGATTGGCGGCTGGACAGTGACAGAGCAATCCCACAGGACGGGCGGAGAGAGTGAGGTCACACGCAACACTCAGGCGTGGCATGCCGTTAGAAAACAGTCCGTCGCACACTCTGCATGCCTGTGTTGATGTTTGAGTGTGTATATCCATGTGTGTACACATTGTGACCTGTTTATCCTGTCTTTATCTATAAACTTGTGCAAATTATTACATTGTGTCTGTGTGTATTAACAAATAGATCCTTGTCTTTGTTTTGGCAGAATCCGGTACAGTAACGGATGATAGGATAACCCAAATATTTAGAACAAAATAAGAGTGGATGAATAATGAACCTATTTGAAATGACACTGTGAATGAGTTCTGTGCGTCTTTGTGCAAGTACTTGCGCTGCATGCACTCATACCTTACTGTGAGGGTCAGCAAACATCCTGGTGAAGATTTCACACAGCCGCTTCAGCTCTACCCGACTGCAGATCAAAAACAACAACAGTTAGATGAAAATCAAGAATCAATTTATCTTTTGAAAACACGTCGGCCCGTTCTGTGGCTGACCTGAGGGTGCGTTGGTTCTTGAGCAGGGCCTGTAGGCCCAACAGCCCCTCCTTCCTTTCTGACCAGTTCGCACTGGCACAACGGTTCAGCACCTGGCAAGAAACACAAATAGACACACACAAAGGCCTGTTGAGACTTCTACATAGAGGGATGTAATGATGCTGACAAATACTGAGCTGACATGGCTTTCTGGTTTTTCAGATTTAAGGTAAGAAGACAATATGGTCATAACGCAATATCAAAGGTTTATAGCTCAATTAGTAGATTTATAGCTCAATTATAGCCTCAAAATTCTAAACTTAGAATGTAAACTTAAAGTCTGATCACTGTAGATACGAGGTATGTTTATTCTGCAGTTGCAAGGCTTAAAATTTGATATTTTTCAAATGTAATGAACTTAACAGTACTTAATATGTATTTTGGCTTGCATTTGCATTTTCTGCAAGCCATTACAGGCAAGGAAAAACAAGACAAGATGCACTGTAATGGTATAACTGTATCTGGTTTCTTTTTAATACTGGCAGAGTTTTATACTGTGCTGCTGCTGCTGCTAACCTCAGCTACGTCTTCTGTCTGTCTCATGTATGTGGGGATGGCGCCTCCATTCCTGGAGCTGTAGGACCTCTCTGAACACGCGCTGGATGCATCGCTGTTAGCGTCATCGTCGGAGTACATGCCGTAGTTTTCGTACCGCCGCCTTGCTGGCTTCTTCTGCAGTTGGAGGACAGGAATGGGAACCACATGAAATTAAACTGTAAGTGAAGTCAGAGCAATACCAGGCACAGGCAGAAAACATGCAGGCATGCACCTAGCTTGATAACAGACAGCTAAACACAAACACACACCACACAGGTAAGAGGCAGGAGAAGAAGCTGACCTTGGACCGCATGTCTCCCAACAGCTGACAGCATTAAACAGAGGTAGAACCAGGGGTTAGTTAGCACACACACACACACTCAAGGAGGTGTGAGCTGCACATGGTGACAGCTTACTGGAATGTGCACAGAGATGCTGTGTTTGGTTTTTTCTTTCATGTACATGTATTGGCTAGTGTACGCGTTTTCATACCAGTGCATCTGCGAGAGCCTCTTCTACGTCTGAGCCCGTGTTGAGGACCCTCATGGCACTGACCGAAGAAGAGAGACGACTGGACTGACTGATGCTATAACCTGATCCTGCAAAGAAATAGATAGAAAGAGCGGGAGGATAGACAGAGGGATAGCAGGAGAAAAAACCTTTAGATTTGAGGACCTAAAATTGTCATCGAGCTGCATATCACTTGTCCACTGATGATCCACCATCCTCATCTCTGACATTTACTCCCCACACACACACACACACACACACACACACACACACACACACACACACACACACACACACACACACACACACACACACACACACACACACACACAAAACAACACTCTTCCCACGAGCAAACCCTGTAAGTTGATGTGATGACTTGTTAGGTGACATTTCAGGTGCCACTGGGGGAGAAAGAATGATTGACAGAAAACACAGGAGAAGGTGTTGGTGTCCCTGCAGAGACGGGGCAGAGCTAAATAAAGAAAAACAAAGGGGTACTGGTAAAATTGGCAGAATGGTTGTCAACTGGCAACTTAATAGGCGGAAACATGCGATTCCACTGGTTCGACATCCTGGAGCAAAAAAAAAAGACAAAAAAAAAAAAAAACACGGAGGCTGATGGACAAGAAAAGAAACATGTTGACAAATAATAAAGGAGGAGATGCGTGGCACTAAAGAGAACAAAAAGAAAACAGAGCGAACAAAAAATTACGGCAAAAGTGGGTGGGTGAGGTACGGAGAAATAGATGTACTCAGCCTTCACCTGCAGCCCCAAAAGTGTCTGGGGTGTGGAGAGCTCCGGTGGAGCGAGAGTAGCTCCGCGTCGCTGCAACCAAGATTAAAACACACATACAGAGTTTAACACTCGCACACCGCGCACACCGCGCACACCCACACACACACACACACACACACACACACACACAAGACAAACACACACAAGCCTAAGACTGATCGAACAGGGTGTGAGAGTAGAAAGAAAAAGGCTGAAAAACAAGCAAGTGATTTCTGTTTTTAATAACCCTGAACTTTTTTGTAGGATTAATTTAAATCAGATACTGAATTAAAATAAAAAGCCTACGTTTTTTTTGTTTTAGCCAACTTTGTTTCTCCTTTGATGTCTTACTTATCTTGATTTTACCAATCATCCCTCCTGGGTATCTCTCCACTACTGCTACTCACCAAGGGGTGTGAAGGAGCGTATGGGGCTGGTGTCCCGGCTGCTCTCCCTGCTGGCCTCTCTGCTGCAGCCCTGACTCATACTGGGCCGGGGGATACGACTGCCCCGAGCTAACGCCACCCGGGTTACAACACCGCACCGCAGCAGAGGAAAAGATGAGGGGGGGAGGGGGAAACAGGGGAAGGAAGAGCAGCAGAGGGAAGAAAAGTGATAGTAAGAAAAGAAAGGACAAGGGGAATGGACGTGAAGAAGATGACAAATGACCAAGAAAAAAGACAAACATGAGCAGTGACAAAGAAGAGAGAGGGGAAGGTACATAGATAAAGACATAAATAAGACAGGCAAAAGTGACAAACCGACAGAATCAAGAAAGAATATGAGCACAGGCCTGCTGGGCAAGAGGGAGCATTTCAACAGATTTTAGTTACTTATTTTTTGTGATGCAAAAAAGAGACAATTTTTCATTATTAACTAATTGTCATTTTTTAGTCTATAGAATGTCATTCAAGGTCTTCAAATGTCTCGTTTGAAAATAAATGTATTCAGTTTACAATGAAATAAAACAGAAAGAAATGCCAATTCTAACATTAGAGGAGTTGGAATTAGAAGATGTTTGGCATTTCTGCGTATCAAATTAACAATAATTATTAAGCAATTATGAAAATTAATTTTCAGTTAAGCTTGTCTATAAAATGTCCACAAAACCCTTCAAAATATATCTAAATTGCTCAATTTGTCAAAGATACTTGGGTTTATTGCAAAAATTCACACTTCAGAGGCAAGAACAAGTGAATTTTGGGTATTTTTACTAATTAATTGATTATTAAAACTGTTTTAGCCAGATTTTCTGTTGATCGACTAATTGTTACAGCTCTAGATGAGATGCACCCAGAAGCCGCATAGGCCTGCTGGACTCACATTAAAATGACACAAACAGTCTGATAACCACATACACCCAGGCGATCAACCCTGCGTCTCGCACACACACAAACACACAGAACAGAAAAGGAAGTAATTTGAGATTAATTTAGCGGTCGAGGGATGGGCGAAGAGAGGATCTGCATTATCATCCAGTTGCATCGCAATCAACTTCATGAGTTCATTGCTCTGTTCATCAGCTCCAGATCTACCCAGCCAACCAGGGTTAATGATAGCCTACCAAAGGGTTACATAAAGCCTTGATGAAGCTTTGCCAATCCGGCCAGAAGGTTCATTCACCAGCCACTGACAACAGGTTAGTAAAGAGAGGGAGGAGGTATGTTCGCAATGCAGGTACATCTGCTGATCACCATAACACCACAGCCATAAGTCTGAGACAGGCTACAGAGACAGGCTCTATGAGGGTGAGGCGGTGAGCTACAGCTTGATGGAGGGATTGGGAAGGCGGGAGAGATTGTGAGATTTGTTGTGGCGCATTGAAATAGAACGAGAAGAATGAGGGATGGAGGGATGATTTAGAATAGATTGAGATAAAGAGGTATCTAGAAGGATGGTCCGGTCGAGGTCAGGTCCTTACCTCCTCTGCTCGCTCCGTTGTAGATGGAACTAATGCTGGAAGGAGCTAGAGGACACACGCAGCAGGGGCAGGAGGAGGACAGGGAGAGGTACAGAGGAGGAAAAGGTGGAGGGAGCAGGAGGGAAAAAAAGTTGAGTTGAGATATCCAAAGGACTTTGGACGACTGAGTGTAGTATCAAGAATTTGGATAAGCCATCATCAAGTTTTAAGCAGTTGTTCTGAAACTGATGCAGGAAGGCAAATATAAAAAGGAAGAACTTTATTTGTTTCCAGTACCAAAGGGAAGGACAAAGAGGAAACTTGAGGGGTTCCCTTTAGGAAACAGTTTACTTACCAACAGACAGGCGGGTGGGGGAAGAGTCTCTGGAGCAGCCCTGGCTGCGGGGGATGCGGCTGCGTCTGTGCCCGTCTCCGGTGGCCCCAGCCAGCACCCGGTGGGCCCCCGAGCTCATGGTGCTCAGGGCCGTACTCGTCAGCACACGACCTGGAGAGCCACTCCGACTGCCAGCTTCAGAGAGACGCAGAGAAAGAAGGGGACAAAATACAAAGAAAGTAAAGTTAGAGCTATCTCAGGCATTAAAGAGTGAAAGCTACAAAGAAACGTAACCAATTCTCCTCTAATATGACAATCTCAACTGTAAGAAATGGTAACTAGTTTTATATACATACAACTGGCAAAGACAGTTGCTATTGCCCTTCATCTAGAGGCACTAGTTTCCAACAGGATATCAAAAATGGACAGAAGTTAATGACTTTACAGCATTTGATGTCATTGGAAAGAGGATTCTTGGGGCTAGGAGAGTAGAAAACTGCACCAAGAGCAAAGTGCATTTTACAGTGTTGTTCAATGACAAAATCTTTTATATAAATCACAACAAAATAAATACATTAAATAAACACATTTAAATATAAGTGTAGTTTTTATAACATGGTGATAACTTTACAGACAGCTCTGCGGTCCGTTTGAACATAAAAGGAGAATAATATAAAGTGTTTGACCAAAATTAACATATTTGATAAGAGACGTCTCAATGTGTCCTCCCCATGGCATCCTGTCTCCAAATGCAAAGCCCATGGTGTGTCTAATACAATCTACAATGACTCAGATTAATATTAACCTGAAGACAATAGAGGAGAAGCTGCTCTGCAGTGCTGAATACAAAACTTGTGGACAGACTTTTGGGTAACAAGCTCCAGGGCTCAACATGTGAAGCTGGACCTTAACGGATTTCAACGGGACTGAAAATGAGCACGCAGACCAGACTCTCTCGCTTTCTCTCACTGACACACAAAAACTCTAGTAAAGACAGACACACACACACACACACACACACACACACACACACACACAAACTCAACATGAAAAGTCTGTCTATGTACTACTAAGTGACACAGAGCTAAATAAATACATCTAAATGACAATAGGGATGGCTCCGGTATTTTGAAGGCACCTTGATCGCTACTTGTAACATTACAGATATATTAGATATGTATTCATTAATTTTTACACCTTTTAATGATGTAAAGAAGACTTGGAACTACTTGACCCCTGTCTATATATTTAGGCTAATGTGGATTCTATAAATGCCTGTGACTATGACTGCATCCAGGCACACATAAGAGTACAGAAAAAGAAGGCTCCCAAAGCAGTGTATTTAGCATGATCAAAGAACAGCCATGTTAACAGTCCGTGATTACAAATCCCAGCATGCCTCAGCCAGAGTGGGAGGAGCCTTAAGTGACCTTTCTGGGTGCACGTGAAGGAGGGGGAAGTCAGGGCAACAGAGGAAAGGCAGTAAAGATAAAGAGAGCGGGTAAAAAGAAGTAGCGTTGTAATCTTACCACCAACAGGGGTAGCAGACTGAGATCCTGAGCCATTAAGCCCATTGGTTGGGAGGAGGGGGAAAGCAGAGGCGAGGGGGAAGGAACAGCAGATTAAACCAGATGAATTATGGGTGTTAGCGCAAAAAAAAACGTCATGGGAGTTAGAACACAGAATACAATGGGAGCGCATCCTGGTGTTCCATATCAAGAATGAAGGCAAAGCTGAAGCACTTTGATTAAATAAATTTATTACAGAGAAAACAACCTGAAAATGTGTCGCTAAAACAAACACACACACTGAACCAGCAGCCTGGGAAAAGCAATGCATGTTGGGACAGCTGGAATATGTATGTATGAAGGAAAGCCTGTTCACAATGAGAAAAAGAAAATGCCTCAAAGTAAATATGCTCAAAAAATATCCATACACTCTGTCACACAAACACACTTAGAAATCTTTCTAAGCCTCTGTTCAGCTGCCATTTCCTCTGTTTCTGTTAGTCTGAGATTTGGTCTTATATCTAAATGTCCAGATCTAATTGGTGCACTGAGCCGTGGTCCAATCACTGTCCACTTTTTAAACTGGTTTCCAAGCCTGCAACAAAGCCATCACGCTAACAAGCAGTCAGTATTTTTTGGAAAGCAGGTACACACAAATCTGCTTTGTGTTGCAAAAGTAGCTTGCTCGGTGGCTTGTGTTCCTTCATGTCTGTTGAAGGATTTTTTAAACAACCTAAATGACAGCCAGAGCCAGGCTAGAGCAGCGCGAATACACTGTCCACCACATCATCCTCAGTGATGAGACACAGCATGCATAGGAAAACACACACATATCAAATCCCACGCACTCTCACTCACTCCTCTTTACCCAAAACACCTTGATCAGAATGAGAGCAATAGCAGGTGAGCCCACTGTGGTACACAGATAGAGACACACACACACACACACGCACTCTGACTCTGACACACAAACGGAATACCTGGTGTGCAATCGGATTCGTCGGAACCTGAAGGCACAAAAACATTTACATGGAGCTTATCGTCACCGTAAAGGCAACAAGTAATGACACTCCACAACAAGAGCCTGGGAAACTAGAAACGCACACTCCAAGAAGCTTGCACACACACCATTTCTGTGGCTGTGTATGTGTTTATGTAATGGGATACCCTGATTGTTTCACTCACAGCTGGGTTTAAGTCATGCTGTGTGTGTACGGTGGAAGCGGCGGGGTACATACGTTGTGACTGGGAGACCATCTTGGTGCGGCTGCGTCCTCGTGAGTCCACCTGGCCGGACATGCCGCTGGGAGTGGATAATGGCTGCTTGGTACGTACACGGCCTGTATGTGTGCAGAGGGAAAAATACAGTAAAAAAAACAACAAAAATAAAACAACCCACAATGCTCTACTTCCCAAACAAACGATTTGCAGCTGAATGAAGCCGAGAAGCTATGAAGCACTACAGCTGATGAAAAGGTACTAATGCTGGAAGCTGCTCACCTAATGTCCTAAACCAAACACTCACGATTCAGCCAGGTGGTCACACAGATAAATACACCAGGGATGCTTCAGTGGATTAGGAACCAGTCTCAATGAGTATGTACTTAAAATGTGAAACTGGTCATAACCCAACTAGTTATTTATTGCTAAATGTTGATTGATGTAAATCTGATAATCTGATCAATTTACAACTGCAATTTTTGTTTACGTTAAGCCATTCCTCTATTTTAATAAAAGCACCACTCAGAAAACAAATCAAACATAATTAAATTCCACAATTAATGTTAGATTGCAAATTTCCAGATTTAGGAACTTTAATTTAGATTTTAGATTTGTATTGCTTTAATTTAGGGTACCACAGTACAAGAGTTTCAATACATTGATTCCTGGTGGTTCCTCTGCAAACTTGAACTCAATTTTGTCAACTTGCCACAACTACAGCATCCCTAAAACATGCTCCCACACACACATCCACCTAACCACAATCTTACCATTGTCTGACCTGGTCCCTACAGACAGACAAAGAAGGAGGAGGTTGTAAACAAAACATTTCACCTGATATGTATATAATGGCACTACAACAACACATCCTAGGTATTCTAATAAAACCTCAACAGCTGATGATACAGTTAAATGCAAGCGTTGATGGTTAAACCATTTCATTTAAAAAAAAAACTGTAAAGCAGAAGATGATCTTAGATGTGTAATTAATTTGATTCATGAGATGCTGAGTTGGATGGTGATACAAATGAGGGAGGGATATAAGATTGACAGCAGGGGGCGCTGTGGCCATACACTGCAAATGAAGGAGTAGTTATGGACTAGTGGACTGGAATGAAGTGAGGGAAAAGAAGAGACAGAAAAAAGAAAAGCACGAGTAGTTTGTAGCTGGTGAAGCAGAGTGAGATGATCTTACCATCCGTTTTATCAGAGGCATCATCTTTAGTAGCAGAGAGAGAGAGAGAGAGAGTGAAACAAAGAAAGGGGAAGAAATGAAGGGAAAGGATTGATACAAATGATTATTAAAAGTAAAAGATACAAAAGGAAAAGGAACCCAAGAAAGGGAAAATGAAAATCGAACAGAAAGTGTGAGTTACAAGGAAACACAAAATAATGAAAAAGGAATAACAGATGTAAGACAGAAAAGAGAGGAGAGACAAGAGAAGAGAGGAGCACAGTGTGAATTAGTAATAGAACAGTCTGTTTAAGAGAGAACCATGCAGATGCAGTGGTCAACAGTAAAACAGAGAGAGACACAAATAGGACGATATTCATCTACAGAACATGCACACAGAGAATATCCACAAACATACATACACAGGATACATAAACAGGCAATGAGCAGGCAGCAGGAGAAGAGAGTACAGCAGCGGAGAGGAGAAAGGCCAGTCCGAGCACTGAAGTGTGTGTGGGTGTGAAGTCCATCCTTGTACACTGTTTTGTAGATGTGACGACCTTTTACAGACCGTGAATTTAACATCTTCCTTCAACCTGTCAGAAAGTTTAGAAGCACTACTTCTGAGCGGACTCCTCAGATAGAGTCCCCATCCCTGCCTGACATCCTGCTGATCGCATGCTGACAGACGTCTGGACTGTCTGATTAGTCATCTAACTTGACTGACAGATCCCTTACCCAGTGAGGAGTAGGAGCCAGGGGGCAGACGCCCCGTTGCCCTGGCCTGTCCGACGTGCCGGTGCTTAGCGACTGCTGCTGCGTTTACATCCACATCGCTACGGGAACGCTGCAGGGAGGCCGACGACATCCCACCCTTTGAACCCGCAGGGACTGATAGGACAGGAGGAGGAGGAGGAGGAGGAGGAGGAGGAGGAGGAGGAGGAGGAGGAGGAGGAGGAGGAGGAGTGTGTTGGAGAAGGAATGGGAGGTGATGAGGGGATATATACATCACAAACACATGCAGGCACCACACTACACAAACACAATACTGATACCGTACAGGAATACACAAACAGCCCGACACATGTACGCATATGTGTGCGCACATGTGTGTAGTAACATAAAAACATAACAGGAAGTGGCTGTACAGGGCCGGACACAGGCAGATGTAAATGAGAATGATGGGAAATGGCGCTGATGTTTGTCATAGTGTGTGTTTGTGTTTGTGTCCGTGTCCGTGTGTTTTCACAGGAGCGAGTGAGCATGAGATTATGTGTGTGAGGGAGAGTGTGTGTGTGCTGTTTGACTCACCTCGCCCTGGAGCTGCCGACCATTTAGAAGTCAGAGGCCGACTGACAGAAGAGGGAGAAAAGTAGGTCAGTACACAACAAAACATACAGAGAGTCACAATGGTTATGTGATGGAACAAAAAACTATTTCAATTTTCTTTTTTTCTCAATGACAAAATATAAACAGATGAAGTAGAGTTGAGTAGAATTGCACTGCTTTCTACAAGCACTGTGCAGGGATTGCCCCAAAAACCTTAGTACATCCACTTCAAATATAAACAAATACACGTAAAGAGTAAAAGAGGGCAGGAAGAGTGCAAAATGAAAGTGGGAAATTCACCGAATGTGTGCTAACTCGACTACCAATAAGGATTTTTGTTGTTGATTTTTGTTTTGCTCATGACTGGGCTTCTAACATTTGAGAAAAAATAAAACTGATAATACAATATACCATATTGCACATGTATTGTATCCATTCTTTATTCTAACATTCTGTAGTGAGCACAGTAATGCTGCTTATTCTGAGCCTCAGCCACAGACTTCAAACTATATATGTAAACACTATTAACAGAGAGAGAGCAAGTACATCATATAAAGCAGTTTATAAAGTTTTTCTACTTTGATTTCAAGTGTTTCTATTTCAGCTCACTTTGGTATTCAATTTGCCAGTGAAATATGATACAAAGGAAGCAAAACAATGACAAATCCAAAATGTTGGGGTTAGACTATGAATATAATGCTCTGAATAACCTTTGAGGAATTTGTTTGTTCAACTTCTGCAAAGCTTGAAAACGAAAGGATGGAGTTACTGGGGATTTTGTCTTTTGTAAAGACGAGTGGGAAGTCCACTTTTATTCATCAGACTTTTTTGCTTTACTGACGCATACAGTAGAAAAGCTGTCATAATGAGAGATTGGAGCAGAAAATGGAAAGTAAACTGAGTAGATTTGATCCATGTACAGCAAGAGGTGGGTAGGCCCACAATGGTTCCTGCCTAAATGTCTTCAAGACTCAAAGGTATTCTTAAAGTGACCCTAAAAGGTCTAAAGTGAGCTACAGATGAGCGGTGCTGATTACTTGAGGCTCTCTTGAGATGAGGATGAGGAGCGGTCACTCTGGGGAAGTGAGGCCACGCTGCCAGAGCTCTTCAGGCAGGACTGAAGGGTCCTCTGGTAAGACGGCTCCAAGGAGTTGTAGAGAGCATCGGCCTCCCCTGGAAAGTGGTTCCTCAGACCCCAGTAGGCCCTGAGAGCCGGGAAGAAGAAAACACAGACGGAGGTGAACAGAGAAAGAGATGAGTAGAGGTTCAGACAGGAAAAGGAGGGTGGTGAGGAGTCTAACACTACTTTCCTCTTTCATATGATTTAATTGTCTTACTTGCGGGCCTCAACTCTGGCCTCTGAGTCTGCATCTCGAATGCCCTTCTTGATGCTCTCAACCAGAACTGCTGTGTGCCTGCACGGGAGAGATACGGAGATAAAGGTGTAAACAAGTAGAACAACAGGTTTAAAATAACCTTTCTTTCTTTGTAAATCACACTAGTGCAAGTCCTGCAGAGTTTGTGTTCTGAACCATGTTGGAACCAGTCCTCACCTCTCTAAAGAGTGGGTTTGCCATTCCTGTAGTAGAAGGTCCAAGAAATCATAACAGCGCCTGGAGAGGACACATTTTTATCATTCTCATTATCACAAAAGACACTGCTTAACAGATACATGATACATGATTAATGATTTGAGATCTACTCATTAACACACTTTTTATCACTGCAGTGTCAACATCAGTGGTATTGTAAATCTCACCTTCTAACAGCCACGGACTTAGATGTGCAGTTACTGGTTATCAGGGGGATGAGTCTGGGGACATGGGTGTGCTGCAGAGAGGGAAGAATCAAATAATCAGAAATACAAAGAATCTATACAACAAGACTGTTGAAAGAATTTATGTGCGTTCGCAAAACTCACCCGTATGATGATGCGGATAGCCGACACACCGGAGGTGGCCATGACTTTGGCACAGTTGGGGATGAGGTTGAAAAGAACGGGAACGATTGCTTCCGCTCCATGGTCAAATTTATTCCCCAGCACCGTAGAGAGGTGGCTATAAGAATAAAGAAACAAATACTCAACAAACGTGCAATAGACACATAACACAAACTAAAATGCAATCTGACTTAACAGGGGATGTATCCGAAATCACTTATTTATGAAATGTATAGTGCCCTCAAAATATTCTAGCAATGGAACAATAAAAAGTACCCACGATGCAATGAGTTTCATTTGATAGATGTGAAAATTACCACATTGTGTCATTGATGACACAAACACAACAATCAATAAGCGTCCTCAGTTTCAAACTAATGTTCCTTATGAATTACAGTGTTTTTTATATAGAAAACAGTGAATTAGTGAATCAGGTTCTCACTTCTAAAACATGTATGGATGACCACTGCATAATTAAATATTGCTTCAGTATTTGGTTAAATCTGTCATTACAAATGTATCCTCCAGTGACAGTAGTATTGGTGGTCTACACTCACGCCACAGTCATGCAGGCCTCTCGGACAACTTGCGAGCGCAGGTCTTTAGCTGACAGTTTGAAGGCTCCATCCAGGAGCCGTAGGTGCTGGAAGAAACAGTCGTAGGTGGCTGCACCAGCCACCAACAGTGAGCGGATCTTCTTCAGCTATTAAAAAAAAACAAAAAACATGTTGTTCATCAACAATGAACAAACAAAGCAGTGCCAAAAAAGCAAATTCAATTTATATAACTGATATATAATAAAACAACAACACTACTAGTCATCCTGTATCAGAACTAAAGACCATCAGGCTCAATAACAAAACGCATCTGCACACTCAACAGGTATCCTGCTTTTGCTTTAAGCACATCTCTGACTGAAAGAATAAAGAAGATTTTTTGTGTGCGGATGCTTTTCTTCATTAAGATTGATATAACTAAAAAAAATGAAATGCGTTGAAGGTGAATCTACTGACAGCAAGGGCTCTCTGGTCCCAGTCGTGTTTGTCATCAGAGCAAATCTCACGGATCTTATTCAGGTTGTCCTCAAGATCCCTTGATGAGTAGATCTGCATAGAGAGACAGTGGGAGGGACCAGAGCAAATATGTGAAGGATAGAATAAAAGTCAGACAGCCTGGCATTGATAGCCTGTATAGTTTTGTTATAAAATGGGATGAATGTGTGTGATTGTCTACAGTGTACCTGGACTGCAGGGACATCTGTGAAGGATTTAATGAAGTCCTCTTCTTCAATTACACCGGCACTGTCCTTAGATACTAGAAAATGAGAGCATATTAATCAATTAATGTGTGTGAGAGAGAGAGAGAGAGAGAGAGAGAGAGAGAGAGAGAGAGAGAGAGAGAGAGAGAGAGAGAGAGAGAGAGAGAATTTTGTAGTGGCAGTAGCAGTCTGTGTTTCTAATGGACTTCCTGGCAGTAATGGGCAAGTCAATCATATTTCTCTGGGGGCTGGGAGCTCTGAGTACCACACCTACTACAACTCCTTAGTGGGGAAGCAGAGAGAAGAAGGAAAGACAAGACAAAGAAGGGAAAAAAAAACAAGCAAGGACGAGCTAAGAGCAATCCAAGAGGATGAGAATATTAATAAAGTGACACAGCTTAGAAAGAAGAAGAGGCTGAAGGGAAGGAGTAAACATGGTGGAAGAGACTTTAGATTAAACTCAGAGAATGGCAGTGAAGGTGTACCCTTTCCTCCTTTTCCCTGGGGCTGATCAGGCTGTGTCACAAGGTATCATATCATATCAAAACTCGACATGACCCTCAGAGAGCTTGGGAACATCGATGTAGCCATCTGGGTATCTGTACGCACTATCTGCTGTTTTTGGGGAGTAACATGACAGAAGACTGGCCATGAAACCCGGCACGCCATCACCATTTACGATCATGTTTTATTTCCAGCTTCATGAAATGGAAAGATTCATGGAATATTACTAAGGAAAAACGGTTATGGCCGCAATAATAATAACAATAATAATTATCATGTTGATAGCTGATACTTTCACGATTGTAAGAACACATTTTTACATGAGAAACAGGTATTTCATCATAACAAGCCTTTAGCCTGATTTAAACAAAGCATTTTGTTACTCACATAAACTGATTTTGGAGATCATGATATAGAAATATTACCATTAACCAGCAGTGTGAAAAATAACTGGATTGCTGTGATTGAAGTCTGCTGACATAAAGCAATCACCTTGGTCTTTGAGAGAAGTAATTTAGACTTTTTCAAGCGCTCTAGATTTTTTTTCTGCCAGTTATTGGCAAAATTGAAATATCTGTCTTCTGTTTGAGTGTGTGGGCGTACTGTCATCTAAATGCAAATGAAGACAATGGGCCCTCCCATCGTGGAAAGCAGAATAAAAGCCAGACAGAGTAATTCCCCCTAAAAAAGAAAATGACAGAAAATATTTACAGCTGATACCCCCTTAGAAACAAGTGAGTATATATCACAAATCTGTGGAGGTCAAGGTTTTAAAACAGTAGTTCTGTGTGTGAAAAATACCCAGCACGCCCTTGACATCAGCCTCTAGCAGCTGCTCCACAATCAATAAGACTGTAATGATGTGAGTTACAAGAGATCACAGTCTTGTGTTTCCAACCAACAGAGCGACGTACCAGGACTCAGACAGACTGCGTGCTAGTAAAACACTTACACCTACGCGTGCATGCATATATGACATTGCTGACAGACACATTAGCAGGCAGCAGGAAATCGACTGCATGGTCGTGGGAACGCAGCTTTTTTCCAATTGACAGAGAGACACGGGGAAAATCAATATATGCAAAGATATAGCTAACATAACACTGCAGCCATCTAAAGTAGGAGGGAGACTTGACAGAGAGGAAGAGGTTCTCTCAACAGGAAGGAAGATATAAACGGTTTCAAAGGCAGATCTTCCGAGTCGACCACAGATACAAGGCTGATGATAAGAACATGAGTGGATCTAATTTCAAAGACACAGAGTCTGTCCCTATTCTGTGACCTCCAGTAATATACTGTCAGAGAACCTGTGGCTGTATCCACAACCTGGAAATAACTGAGCTACACTGAACTGTCTCTGGTGACATTAAAGGGACACATCACAATGTCCTCCTGTTATAGTGGTCCAGCTTAGTATTTTGACTTATGTGAAATCATTCAAGGTCCTGTCTGTACAAAAGAAAACAGCAATTTCATCATAAAAAAAAAGATACTGGTAAATTCTTAATGATGTTTTACGACCTTGGACTCTTTCAGCTCTTTGTCATCAGTGGGATGTCAAGTATTTCTGCATTCAATAAGCTCTAAATGACAGCTGCAGAAATAATTCATTAAATGATTTATTGTTAACTATTACATTTATTTATTTATTATTTTGCTAATAGTCCAATTGTTTTGAGTCATTTTTTAAGAAAAACTAAATCCAAATACTCTCATTTCAGCTTCTCAAATGTGAATATTTTCTGGTTTCTTTGGTTCTCTATGACAGTAAACTGACTTCAGGACCAAACAACTAATCATTTCATTGAGAAAATGATTAACAATTTGATCAATAGTGAAAGCAATCGTTTGGATGCAGCCCTACTCTAAATGATCAAATAGTGAGTCATAGAAATGTGATGCTCACTGGAAAACTGCTTATGGTGACTTCCGCATAGATAAAAGTAAGGCTTGCCAAGTGTAATTGTACTGATAATTCTCGTTTGCCACTAGCCTTGAGCAACCACTAGCCTAGTGAATGATATAAACACCACTTTCACTATATAAGGGGTGGCTGTGGCGCAGAAGCATGGTGCCACATGTCGAAGTATCCTTGAGCAAGATACTGAACCCCAATTTGCTCCTGATGCCGTGCATCGGTGTGTGAATGTGTATGAATGTTAGTTTCTGTTCGATGGCCTTTGCCATCACTGAGTGAATGTGTGTGAAAGGGTGAATGTCTCACGTAGTGTAAAAGCGCTTTGAGTGGTCGGAAGACTAGAAAGGCGCTATACAAGAACAGGTCCATTTACCATATACCATTTACTATATAGAAATATCTTTTTCAACTCATCTGTGTGTCTGCTTTCACTGTGTGTGTGAATATACAGTAGATTAAGTACCTAGCTTGCCACCGGTAGCACTGGGCCTGCGTGCAGCAGAGGTCTCTGCAGGTTTCTTGGGAACTTTTGGGACCTTGAAGGCAGCCTGGGCCGAAGAAGAACGATTCCCATCCACGCTGTCATCGTCCTCAAAACTACGATCTGGAAGGAGAGTACAGAGTGTTACCATCCACACAGTAGGCAAGGAGGAGCACGGGTTCAAACCTTTTGTGTCTTAAGCAAAGGTTTTTATTGAGTCATGTTATTACACAAATCATTATCACCAAAAACAGATCATAAATAGTGTTAACACAGTGGAACCATTATTTTGTTTATTCACAATGTGCATGAGAATCATAAACTATCAGCAAATACACAATCATAAGTGAAGACTCACATACAATAATTAAGTTGAAATCGGGTTACTAAAATGTTAACTAAAAAGGCATATAAATTATTCAAACCCTCAGATCCTTTGGTAGCATTTCACAGCACCTTGTTTTTTATATGCCCCTTTTATGTTGAGCATAAAAAGCTAAGGCTAGTTGAAGACAATGACTGCTTGAAAGAGAAGTAAAGACAAGAAGTAGAGAACTGAGGAGGCTGTAGCCTACAGGGAGCTTGGTCAAGAATCACTAAATCAATACTAATTACAAACACGCCCCTGCTTAGAAGAAAAAGGCAAACACACACAAACACACACACATATTTATATATACAATCACTTCTAAGAGCACAGACACACAGCTAATCATCAAGATGTCCACCCGTGCAACCAGTGACTGACAGAGTTCTCTGGAGCCCAAATCCTCAATCTGCATGCTAGCAAACATTAGGCTAGCTAGAGGGCTAGCATTGAAACTTGAGACACACTTGCAACAATGGTGCAGCATTTTGAATCTACCAACGAAGATACTTGTGGCTGACAATATGAGAGGACACACATACACATTCACACACGAGAGTCGACTGTGGAGATGGAACTGTTGGCATAGGAATGCAGTTGCGCTCCGGTCGCTCTGACAACCAGCCGGGGAGAAATGCGCCAAAGCCACCACCCTACACCTTGACTGATACGGCTACTTACCTACACACACAGTCGACATGCAAAATCAACTGATATGCATGCGTGTGTGTACATACAAGCCGAATGTTCACAGTGAATGCAGAGCATATTGTGTCATGCTCAGTAAATGTTAAGTGGACATGTAAAGAAGCAGACATGTACATACTTTACCCGTGAATCACACACACACACACACACACACACACACAGTTATCAACACACACCAACACACCCAGGTCCATCCCTGCACTCACAGTCACAGATCCGCTGGCAGATAAGACGCCTCATGCTTCTGGGAGGGCGTGGTATTGGGGTCTCCCCTCTTCTCCAAGCCGTACCCCGAGACACATGCACACACCTCACACACACTTCATAGTGGGACTAAGGCTGCGCACACACACACACACACGCACACCTCACATCGCTGTCCGAAAACCCCTCCACCCATACAAGTGCCGGCATTTTCTTTCACTCTCTCTCTCTTTCAATATTCTCTCTCTCTCTCTCTCCCTCCCTCCCTGCCTCCATCCCACCCACTCTTTCTCCCTCTCTCTCTCTCTCAGCATCTCTCCTCCTTCCCTCAGCAGCCTCACAGCCAATCAGACAAGAGGTGACATCATAGTGTTGCAGCCAGTGCGGAGGCAGGATGTGAATGTGTGTGTGATGGGAGAGAAAGGGAGAGAGACACAGACACACACACAGACACACACACACACACACACACACAGACACACAGACACACACACACACACACACACACACACACACACGACAGACACCCCAGGAATATTAACAGGGCTTCTCTGTGTCCCTGCCAGACCAGCTAACCTAAACTCATTACCATTGACAACACACACTCTCCATCTTCTTACACCTCTCTCTCTCTCTCTCTCTCACACACACACACACAATTGTCAACAACCTCTTTACACACTTTTTATGCTGCTACATTTACCTGTAAAACAAGATACACCTTTATTTATTCACCCTCTTTCTCTTCACATATACAATAGAACAAAGGAGGATGGAGCAATGATCAAAGGAGGGGTGTGTGGAGGGTGAAGGGAGGAGAAGACCACACCCCTCCATCTGAGGCCTTGACCCTCCCTCTCTCACACAGACACACACTCTGCAGTCTGTGAGTATGTGGACAGTGACATGTTTTATGTTGTTTCGACTCTGTAGTCTAGGACAGTCATCATATATAAAAAGCGGCTATAAATCCTTCAATAACTGAATGACTACCCACAGACATCAGCAGACATTTAGTATTTACGGTCAGACCTGTACTGCAGCCACCGTTTTTATAGTTTGTTTTAGGGGATTTCTGCATTATTTTTGGCCCAAAGCAAATAAAACACCTGCTCAAGTGGGTTGAAGTCTCCCAGCTGCACTGTCCTAAAATCAGGGTGCTATAGGTAAAAAGGGCTACAAGGTTTACTCGACTGTTCAACCAAAATGGATTTTACAACTAAAGGTGAGCCTCACCCTTATACTCCTCGTTTAATTTTAAATCAAACGTGATGTATATACAGCCAAAATTAAATATATACTGTGCAACTATTCTAGATTGTAAATATACACACATACAATACAAGCAAACCTACTTATGAAAACTGCCTGATTCCTTATTTAAAAGTACATTTTTATGATGTTCAGTTCCAATCAGGTCATATAAGTGATATTTACGTTTTCAGTGGGAAACTATTAGCATGTCATCGTGCAAGCCTGAGTTCAATAGAACTGTTCTGGGTCAAAGTTCAAGATTCAAGAGGACACCAAAACCCTCCATCGCAAACACCATTACAAAAAAGGTTCTTATATATGTAAAATGAATGTAGCAGAAATACAGAAATACAATATTTGAAGGTATATTTGTGCACACAGCCACTAATATAACTGAACATATTTACAATATTAGACACCGGTTTAGTGAATTTAATTGCTTTATAACAAAACCCACAGGTTCATTAGCAATACTCAGTCACGCATGGAGGGTCTTAGCATTGATTAGCATGACGTTAGTATGATGTTAGTATGATTTGCATCTCCTGCTTTTGTCTAGTCAGACCCCACGGGAATAAATGTCTCTGGGTGAAGGGCAGAGCAAAGACACCAGAGAGAAAGGGAAGGGGGGGGCAGAGAGGTATAGGGAGAGAGAGAGAGAGAGAGAGAGAGAGAGAGAGAGAGAGAGAGAGAGAGAGAGAGAGAGAGAGAGAGAGAGAGAGAGAGAGACCCTTGTAGAAAGCAGACTGCACACATGCTGTTGCCATGGAGACCTGAGCAGACCAGCTTTGCAAATGAATAGAGCAGCAAACAGAAAAAAAAAGATGTTCAGTAAGCCCACTTGCACGCGCGTGCACACACACACACACACACACACACACACACACAACACACACACACACACACACACACACACACACACACACACACACACACACACACTCAATTTAGTTTAATCAACAGTTGGATTTACTGTTTAGCCACTGACTTCATGTTAGTTTATTAAATAAGGGGAAAGGCTCCTGCAACAGCATCAGTGTGTCCAATGATACTCTACATTGCCAAATATTATGGCACAACATGCAAATAACAAGTCTACACATATACACAGAGAAACAGACACAGGCACACACACCCACACAAACACAGTGAGAAATATCAGCTCCACCGTGTACCAGGCAGCGTTTCCATGGAAACTCCAGGCCGAGATCCCCTCCTCTCCTCAATTCAGAAGAAGAGTCAAAAAGAGGAAAGAAGACGACTGGTTGAATATGTAGATCTGATAGTTGTCCAGAAATAATCCACCAGTGGTCAAATTAAAGACATATCCGCAAACACATCCGCAAAAACACGCACCAACATCCCTTGTATGTCAATCCCTAATCCGTGTGGGAATAATCCCAGAGTTGTTCCCAGCCAACAAACAAACATAATCCACATGGAGGAAGTGAAGTAAAACACATGCATGATTCTCTGTTCCTATTTGAGGAGAAAAACATAGACGGAAAGAGGAAATGACATACAGATTCGATTACAGTCTTGCAAAATTCATTAAGTGATTAAATCACAGATCTGTGAACAAAAAAAACAAATATTCTCTTGTGACCACACGATGGCAGCACTGTTTCTGTTCTAACCAAATTTTTTCTATGGTTCAAACATGCCAAAAAAAACCCACAGAGGGACACAACATCCCACTGCATTATATACAGGAGAGACAATGAGAGCGACAGTGTTTGTGTCTTAAGAATTACACAGAATGATCAAATCTTCTCTGACTCAACAGTAATGACTCAATCATGAGATTAAGTTTGTATTTAAGGGTGAATGTTCATATTTCTGAATGGAAGTGTTTTGTGAAAATATATTTCTAACATTTTAACTAATTAAAATGCATTTTAAAAACAGATTGACTACACTGAGTTGAATTTGAACATTTATTGCTTTTCCTGTTTATTGCATAACTGAGATTTGTGCGACCAAACAGAGTTAAGAATGAAAAACTACAATTTAGACCATTTAGAAGTAGCCTTTCAGTAAGGAAATCATAAAAAGTTAATGTGGTGATGTGCAAAACTGACAAAGTCGGTGCACCCTCTTTAGCCAGAAGCCCACTCTCCATAGCAAGCATGGTCACATCATTGTTTGGGGTTCAGTCAGTTACACTGTTTTAAAGCAGTGGAGCATCTCATCAGCTGGAGCAATGCAGCAGACATCAAAAATCTCAAATTGCAACTAAGAGCATAACCAGACATCTTCTGAGGAATTAGACCTACTACACAGAGAGCCTGTGTTTGTGCTGATCTCCTGTAAGCTGCAGGAGAGCAGGCAACATCACGTATTCCCACTCAGGAGCATGTGACAGCGTGCAGAGTCCAGTGCGAAAGATGACACACGAAAAGTATTTTTGACACTGCACAGCCTTCAGATGAGAAAGACTACAAGTGAGAAGTAGAACATGAGTAGCGCTGCAACAACTGGGACAAAGGCTGTTAAAAAGCTCATGACTGCACCAGCTCCAAAGTAAACTAAAAGAGGTATGTGTGTCAAACTAGACTATGAAACCACAGCTATTCCAGCAGAAACCTGC